ATTATATATTGTAACAGACTGTGTTTATAATTTATTTATTGTTAATTTGATTGATAAGAATTTCAAAAAATCATTCGATGTTTCGGCTCATCTCTCATTTGTGAATCATTTGATGTTGTGAGTAGGGCAGTTGCCCAGGTGCTCCTGGCAAGGTGTGAACTTCCAAGTTACAATATATTTCTGAGTATTAATTACACTATTTATAACTTAGTCAGTTAATCAAATAAATGATTGCTGTGTGAGTTTAAAAAAAAGAATAGAGACCGCATAGTTTCTTGCTGGTTCTTCTCTGGACAGGTCTAGTTTAGTGAACCGGTGTGGTGGTAGTTTTTTGACGTCCAATAGGAGTTAAAAACAAATAAGTTATGTACCATGTTTCCCATCTCAATATTTAACGCACCCTGGGTTTCTTAAAGAATTCAATGAAAACAAATGAAGAGAATATAATACACACCTCAAATTTGTATCAATTTTTAGGGTTCCGTAACCAAAGGGTAACGGGATCCTAAAAACCTCAGGAAATTGAGAAAGGTAGAAACTTCAATTGATCATGCAATTTGTAAAAAAAAAAGATCTTAACATTTAAACAAAAACAGAAACATGCTTTTGTGATACTTCAAACTTTTTTCGTCCCATCTTTGATTTGTAAACTTTTGATTTGTAGAGAAAGTATTTCGCGCGACTGTATAACTTGTTAATGCATATTCCAATAAAAATAGTATAGCGATGGATAAAAACGTGTTCTTCACCATTAACTCTAACACTATCATTAATAGTTTAGTCTCTATTTAAGCATATCATCAAGGTGCCTGCGTAACGTGGTTTGATTTATCTACGACATTATGTAAGTGCGTCTGATAGATAGTGACGAGCTTTCTCCGCGTCTTCCGTTTGGAACATGAAAACAAAATATGTTATAAATATAGTTTATAATTTTTTAATTTGAATATCCACTGTCGTTCGGTTAACTGTCGATGCGTGCCGCTGACGAGCGACGTTTGGTGTCTTAGCCCGCAATATTGTTAAAATAAACGTAATCTCGACTTACCACCGAAATTAAACCAAATATCCGTATGATTATATTTAATAATATTCAAATATTATCCAACAAAATGATAGTACATTTACGACAAAGTCCTGCCCTGTGGGGGCGCCTCTCCTGGTGATAGAAACGCAAAAATTGACCAATAGAAACGCCTGTATAGACCTAGCTGCTTCCTTATCTGTCCACCCACTTCACACACCTCAGTGCAAACATGGATTAGACAGATTATCAATTTTATTGTGGCCAGGAGTTGTTTTTTTGAGGTGATTTTTCGCGATATCCGCACGGCGTCCGACAATTGTGCAAACAGATTGATATTTCATCATTTCTACTATTAGTTTAGTTTTATTTGCCTTTGCAGGACAATGCACGTGTACACGTTTTGCGATTCAAAAGCGCGAATGTACGCGGACTGCACGAAAGGGCGCCCGGCGTAGAGACGCTACGGCATCATATGCCTACGATCGGCTACGACGGACCGGAGGGAACGATGAGAAACGCAAGCAAAATTTCATTTTTTGTAAAGGAAAATGTTTACACTAAAATTATATCGTTTTTGTTGAGATTTATCTAATGTGATATTACATTAAATTTGTCTTCTATTTATTATCCAAATATCACATATAAGCTATAGTGGTCTATTTTTGGCAACACTACAGATTTAATAACCAAATATTTTTTTTTGAGATCTAATGATCGTATCTTAGTTTGTTTGAAAAATTTTTTTTATTATAATTTTTTTTAACGTTTTATATTTTTTTATGATTATTGGCTAACGCTACGTGTTAGACGTGTGTTCATTTATTGTCGCGGTTGTAAAGACACGCTGTATAAATAATTTCTCTGTTTCTTGTTTTCTACAAACAGAGAAGTTGTTTGTGTGCTGGAAAGGACATAACAATGGATACGCCTTCAAATGCTTCAAATGCTAAAAAACAATGTAGATAAAAGACGTTAAGATTTTCGATTCGATTTACGAAGAGATTAATGTTTAATTTTAAGTGCTATATGCACAACAACATTTAAAAAAACACCTGAAAATTAAACACTTCTCGACATATTTTTTTAAGTTCCGATTAAAATTCATTTCTACAAAGGTAATTTATAAAAACAATTTAAAGTTACCACGGTTAAGTTTTAGTAAAGTGTCCTAAAACTTGTCCACGTGTAATTACGCTCTATACACGAATCTGTTTATCCTTGATAACGCTATAAGAACGAACCGTACTTTTAATATTATAGACATCTAAGTTATTCCTATATTTCAATTACTAAAAAAGAAAAACGTTCATATTTTAAATATGTATTAAAAAAATAATAAAACAATGAGACTTCATTTACATGGAATATGATCAACAAATCAATAAGACCTAATTCTGGTAACAACATTTCCAATGCTCTTGTTGTAAGGATGACAGGGGACCAACTTAATATTTTCTTCACTAAGAGTACAAAAAAAAACCGGCATCATATACTGACAATATTAGTAGGTCCACATTTTCTCTTTTAATTAATAACTATAAAAAATTAAAAACTATAAATACTATTTTGATACAAAATTACTTGAGAAATGTATGCTTACTCGGATGTCACCATTCCTACAGGAAAATAATAGTATTCCTTTAGTTTATTTAGTTATCCTAAGATCGTATAATTTAGTTTATAAATTTAGTTAATTTAGTTATCCTTTGGCAGCGCTTAGATCCTAATCTTGTTACAGAAACTGCACTAATTCAGTTTTTCAACATCTGCGCTCTACTGGTTTAACTCCTATTTCATAAACCGGAGCGACATCGTCCAAAAGGTTGATTATGAAGGCCAACGTAGCTTTTCAGAGCTGTTTATAGTAGTACAACACGACCTCGAGGCGTTTGTAGCCTGGGCTGACCGACATAATTTGATCCCTAATCTAAAAAAAGCACTGTAATAATTTGTGGGACAAAACATCAAGCGGACATGCTTATACCGAATGACCTTTTTGTTATAGCTATGGTTTCTTTTCTTTAGTTTGCTGCGTTTAAATATTGCAATGACTTGGTCCCTCATCTTTATAACACCTGCTCCTTTAAGTGGTTTTAAAAGCTAATGTCGAAAATGATTAGTAATGAATTAGTCATTGGTTCCGAATAGCTAGTGTTTAATAAAATAATAAATTGAATTTAAAAAAAAAATGTGGCTGTATTGAAAAGTCTACGGCATGATGTTACAACCACGACATTAAATGAACACATTAGAAGTGTACACACACTAGTGGCACTACTTGCCAATAATGAAAAAAACATAAACGTTAATAAAATCCTTAATTAGAAAAAATTTTTTTTCAAACAAACTAATTAAATAAAAAGAAAATTTGTAACATCCTATATAACAACAACTGACTAATTCATATATTCAGACTTTCATTCGTTGCCACAACGTCGTATTACAAGTATCTCCTTCTAACAGGATGTTTTATCTCTTTTAAATTCATTCAACCAATTTATATATGCTTTGTGAAATTTAAAAATGAACTTTACGTTATAGTTTTATACACCCGTAGTGTTGTTTTGGAAAATTTTATAACTCTATTCAAATAAAATTTTCAATTCAATTTTTATAAAATTTTCCAATTTTTCGTTTTAAGCAATGAAAGTAAATGTTTAATACAATTTAAAAAGTTATCATCTATATGGATGTTTATTTAACGTCGCGGTAGTAACACCACGTTGTATTATAAATTATTATAATTATAATTAGTATATATAATAAATTCAGCAACAGCCAAGCACGTCCAGGTCATCTAGTCTACATATAATTAATATACCAGCAAAAGTGTTTTTATCCACCTTCGTTGTTTAGCATCAAGAAAATTTATGTTATGGATACTAGTCTTTACTACAATTATTAAAGAATTTATTTTGTGATTATCAATACACAGTAAAAATGTGTACATCAGAAATGATTTTAAGTCTTATCCTTTAGCATTGAGTCCGAAATTAACAAATATAAAAATACTGTTTAATGGCCAGTTTCCATCTAATTAGACTCCATATAATCTAAGAAGTTTCCTCATGTTACATTTTGTAAGAGCTGTGTCTTTTGTAAAACTTCATGAATTTAAAATAGGATTAGAACTTTTTATTAATAGTTGTCAAGCGGTCAGGCGGTTCTCCCAATGTTAAGTAAATACCTGCACCTATAGACGTCTATAACACAGAGCATGCATATGCGTTGGCAACTTTTAAAATAGTGGACCTCAGATTCTAACTCACAAGACGAAACACGAAAATATATAATACTTATATAAACTACCATTTCATGTCGGTCTTCTGTGAGGCCTTGACTGGCTTGGACGAGCCGGCCCATTCGTGCATAAGCAGATGCTGTTGTGAGGCAATACCCTTGTACACAGAAAACTTATTTTATGAAGCGAAAACAACTATAGTTTAAGTTTAAAAATAACATTTGGCACAAAGGTCAATAAGCCATTTGTCATAACATAAATGAAGTGAAAAAACAAAAAAAAAAACAACAATGACTTTACGTCAACTCAAACTTCAAAGTCATTGTAAAATGTAAATAGTAAACATTAAACATTACATTTCTCATAACTACAAACACTTTTTAGGTAACTTTTATGTTAACAGATATATCGGAATTGAAATAATTGAATGTTAGTTCATTACAGAATTTTAATTGGCGAATGTTGTATCCCACAAAAGATTTTGTGATTATTTTTGGTGAAAAATTATTATATTCAGATTGTTATCAAAACTATATCAAATGATAAGAATACAAATGTAATATATACACAGTACACGTCCAACAGTTCAAAGGTATTAAGTACATTTAATGATGGCAAAAAAAATGTTAGTTCTGTGAATGCAATTATAGTATGCATAACTTTAGTTCAAAGTTTAGTTCGAAGTTTGTAGACGTGATTAAACACTTCAGAAGAAATTCAAGTACCAAAAGTATGGTAAGTAAATAAAAATTAAATTGTTATGAAACATAAATATAACAACAGTGTTAATAATAATTTCTTGTATTTACGCCATTACACATTATAAATGAAACTAATTTTACGGATTTATCGCGATTATTTTTAATTTTAGTTCCCGACGTTTCGAACCCTTTACAGCGTTCATGGTCACGGGACAGACTGAGGTGTTAGACGTCTGATTGTCAAAGTTAACCCAGGCTACCGTCAGTTTTTGTATTATTGATTTTGTATCCGATCTGCTCCCTCTCCATAGATCTATGTCTGCATCTCAGTCTGTCCCGTGACCATGAACGCTGTAAAGGGTTCGAAACGTCGGGAACTAAAATTAAAAATAAATGCGATAAATCCGTAAAATTAGTTTCATTTATAACAGTGTTAATTGTGTAATCAAAAATTTACTTTTTCTTTATTTCTTTGTTTTATTTTATCTTCCTCTTAAATGGCAGCAATACATATGTATGTTTATATTGAATATGAGTTTTTCTTTATTAATGAAATAAATAAAATATACACCTTTTTGTTGTTTTATATCTTAAAAGATTAGATAAAACATGAAACAACTAAACCATTATTAGTGTGAAAATGTATAAAAACTTTTCTCAATTAAGAAGTTTTATTTTTCGTACAATACATAGATTAAATTTTGCAGCATTCCTATGCTAATGCACAGTAAACCATCACATGTCTTGCAATTCAAATTTGATATGAATAATTTTAAAATTCAAAAAGTTAGAGTAATTCTTTTATCACCAAAGAATCTTGTGGTATTTGTTTCCTTTCTGATTCTTTGATTAAACATAGGTCCTTTTAAACTATCCTGTATTTGCATACTTAGAACACAAAAAGTTGAAAAAAATTGACAAATATAATTATATACAAACCAGCTCTGTGGTAAAATGTAAGAAGTGTACTACACTTCAATTTCTATACTTATACTTGTTCTGAATAACATATTTTTATATGAACTGGCTAGTTCTTGATTGCTATTCCACCGGGTGGTGTGGAGATGCAGCTGTTACTAGTGCATGCATATGTTCCTTTTAAAAATATAATATATCAAAGAATTTCAAACACAATGCAAAATGCTTTTCTCCAAAATGTGTTTAAATAAAAAATGGAAATATGAGTATTGATATGAATTTAATGATTTGTATATTAAATACAGTGACACTTATAAGATATGGTTGGGGTATAGATACAAGAAGTGATAATATCACATACATACAAATTCATACATAAGTATTGTTATAAATTTGGTGATTCAAATAATAAATACAGTGAAACTTATAAGATATGGTTATGGTATAGGTACAAGCAGTGATTAAATCTATCTAAAATTACATATTATCTAATAAACCTAATCCATGTGGCATGATGCCAATGAATGAATGAATGAATATACTTTATTGCACACCAAAAATAAAACAAACAAAAATTAAAACTTGAATGTAGAAGTGATGGGTACAATGGGCGGCCTTATTATTAAGAGTAATTTCTTCCAGGCAACCTTTGCCAAGAACGCTAGCTGCATTTCCTCGCTGAACAGTTATGCTTAACCTTTGGGTGAGAAAAGAACCAGCTCTCTTGTCATCAGCCGTGATAATATTGCATATCGACAATTCCATTATATCCATATATTGCATCATAACTATATTATGATGTAATATATGGATATAATGGACTCTTTTGGGCAAATCTTAGTGTGTTCATCAGTAACCACTAGACTGTTAACCTCTGAACGCGTATGCTCTGGACCAAAGATGCTAGAAATATCCATATATAAATTATAAAATTAACTGAAATCTTAAATAGTCACACTGTATTTCTATTTCAGAGTAAGCCAGTGGTAACAGTAAAACAAGGTAGATTGTTAGGTGCTAAAAAGAAATTGTATAATGGCACTCCATACTACAGTTTCAAAGGGATCCCGTACGCGAAACCTCCCATCGGCAAACTGAGGTTCAAGGTGACATTCATTTATCAATACAAGTAACAACCGACATATCCTAATACTTAAACATTAGTTTAATATACTATGATCAACTATCAATGCTCCAATTATTGGACAACACAAATGAGTATAATATAATTGGCATTTCTGCTTCAACTTTGATTCAAACTCATGCATGTTGCTGTCATCCAATCTGATGGTAAAGTCTATATTTATAGTTGCTTTCAAGCAGTTCTATTGAGATACTTTTGATATAAATCTGATGTTGCTGAGATGGCGCCCGTAACCTGGTAGTCGTAACTGATTATATAATTCTTTTTAAACAATTTCTTAAACCATGTTCCTTTCTGCTACCACAGTTAAAAAGTAACAATGGATGCAAGCAGTTCTTGAAACGTGAAAAAACAATGTAATTAAAAGATGTTCAGATTTTCGTCGATGAGGCAATCAGCCGTGTAACTTAATTGTTAAAGCGCCTGGACGTGAATCCCGAAGACGTGGGTTCGATTCCCACGGCAGCGACAATCTTTTCGTAGTTTTTGTACAAACTTTAATGTTTAATCTTAAGTGCGGTTTTTTAGCACTATAAAAAAATTAAATTTCTAAAAAGCAATGGCGACATCTCTCGTACGAATTAACGTTCTAAAACGATATTCATTATTTATATTGATTTATGCTTGAATATTTTTTTGGTTAATGCTTAACTATTTTTTATGCATTAAACAATTTTTTTAAGGGCCTTAATGCTAAAAAGCATTTGAAGCATTGCATATGTATAATTAAAGGAATCATTTTAATATTCAATAAAAAAAATTCAATTATTTACCTAAATGTAAATAGCTATATAAATCATTTCAGGCACCGCTTCCACCTGAGCCTTGGCAAGGTATTTACGAAGCCACCGAGCATGGGCCAGTATGCCCCCAGGTAGATATGAACACGGGCCAATATGTGGAAGGCAGCGAGGACTGTTTATTCCTGAACGTCTACACGAAATCCTTGAGGGGTGACTCCAGAATGCCCGTGATGTTTTTCATCCACGGCGGCGCTTACATGTCGGGCTCCGGTGACGCGGACATGTATGGGCCGGAGTTCCTTATCCGGCACGACGTGGTCCTAGTCACCATCAACTACAGATTGGAGCTTTTGGGCTTTCTGTGCTTGGACATTCCCGAGGTGCCGGGCAATTCCGGTATGAAAGACCAGGTGGCGGCTCTACGCTGGGTGCAGAGCAATATTGACCGGTTCGGGGGGGACCCTGAGAACGTCACAATATTCGGAGAGAGCGCCGGTGCGGCTTCGGTCACCTTCCATATGCTCTCGCCGATGTCGAAGGGCCTCTTCCACAAAGCGATTGCCCAAAGCGGCGTATGCACATCCGACTGGGCCCAGGGCACGGAAGGCAAAGCGAGGGCCACCAGAGCTGCCAAGTTTCTGGGCTTCCAGAGTTCCGATGGCGAGCAGCTCTTGGAGTTCCTCCAAACGGCACCAGTCGACAAGCTGGCCAAGCTGACGTTCAAGTCGATGACGGCCGACGAGAAACACCGGGGGCTGCCGATCCATTTCGCGCCGGTAATAGAAAGGAGCTTTCGGAACGTGGAAGCGTTTCTAACCGAAGCGCCAATGGATGCGTTGCTGGCCGGCAACGTCAACAAAGTGCCCCTGATGTGCGGATACAATTCCGCCGAGGGTCTGATAATGGTGCAGCACCAAGTGAAGAAGCTCCACTTCATGAACAGGAATCCCTCGTTCTACGTGCCCAGAGAGATCGCCCGGAAAGTCCCCGAAACGGTTTTGATAGAACTCGGTCAGAGGGTTAAAAGGTTTTACGCGGGCGGGAGGGATTTCCATGACAAAGACTTGGAACTCCTAACGAATTTGATGTCTGATATTCATTTTGGGTTCGGCTGCCATAGATTCTGCCATTTCTACTCTTCGTTGAACAGGTCAATCTACATGTATAGGTTCGACTGTGCTACCGATCTGAACAGATTTAAGGAGTTAATCGGACACGCGGATTACAAAGGAGCCAGCCATGTCGACGAGCTGTTCTATCTCTTCAGCAATCCGTTGAACCGGGATTGTTATGAGAGGGAGGATTTAAGGATTCTTGTGGACAAAGTTACTAAACTGTGGACCAATTTCGCCAAGACGGGGTCTGTATGATCTGAATTGGTTGATTTCTTCGTAACATATAACTGATCATATACAGCGTGTCGTTACCAACGCGACAATAAATGAACACACATATAGAGGATAAATTTTTAAAATTGTATTAAACATTTACATTCTTCAACCATCAATATTTACAGAGTTATTAAATTTTCCAAAACAAACAATTTTAGAACACCCTTACGTATAAAACTGTAACATAAAGTTCATTTGTAAAGGTCACAAAGCATATGAATGGGTTGAATGAATTTAAGTTCGAGGAGAGGCTTATAATGCGACGCTGTGGCGCGAGTTGTATAGGATGTTACAAATTTTTGTTTCTTTTTTACTTAATTAGTTTGTTTGAAAAATATTTTTTTTTAATTATGGATTTTGTTTAACGTTAATATATTTTTATGATTATTGGCAAGTAGTGTTAGACGTGTGTTCATTTATTGTCGCTATGGTAACGACACGCTGTATATGTATAATAAGTTTTTGTCGATCCGTCCATGAGGGGGCGTTGATTTTTTTTTATAATATCTTAGCGTACCTGGGCTATAGTGATAATTTTATAAACATATCGTACTAGTTGAAGGTTTCAATAGTCTCAAAAATGGTTACTTGCCATACCACTATTAAAGGGGGAAGAAATGGTCCAAGCAATGGTCCTTCCATGTTAATTCTGATCTTTGTAATCGATATGCTTGTATGTATTGACTGTGGTAGGACCACGCAGGCAGGCTAGTCCGGGTAAGTACCACGACCTCACAGAAGACAGACGTGTCTCGTCTAAGTGAGGTAGCCGGGCCCATAACTATTAAAAGGTGGCAACGCATCTGCTACCCTACGGTTGTTGCAAACGTCCACGGGCTGCGGTTATCACTTAACATCGGGTGAACCGCCTGTTCGCTTGCAACCTATAACACACCACCATAAAAACCCACATAAAAAATGCATTATTTGATGTGGCCTTCCATTATCATCCAGTGATCCGACACCAGAAAACTCGGCGAAAACAAAATGGCGCCCGTACACGGCCAGCGGGAGGGAATACTTGAGCATAGACAAGACATTGTCTATGGGCACGCACGCGGAGAGGGAGCGAGTGGAGTTTTGGAACAGACTGTACAGGGAGGCGGGGTTACCCGCTATTGCTTCGAGTAAATTGTAGCGTCTGTGGGTTTTGGATTAGCTGTAGATACTTTGCCAGTATAAATAGGGTGGACAATAGTTGTCGCTGGCTCGACAGAATGTGCAAAGTCAGTTCTAAGAAAGCGTTACCTTGATTTTAAAACTCTTATCTTCTCTCTTTTTAGGGTTCCGTACCCAAAGGGTAAAAAGTAGGGACACTACTACTATGACTCCGCTGTCTGTCTGTCTGTCCGTCTATCACCAGGCTGTATTTCATGAACCGCGATAATTAGATGGTTAAATTTGTTTTTTCACAGATGATGTATTTCAGTTGCCGCTATAATAAGAAATATTAAAAATAGAATAAAATAAAAAATATTTAAACGACTCCTATACAACTAACGTGAGGTGGTTGTTAGGCAACCTATAGGTACTTAACAATTAGTTTATTGTAAATAACGGTAGCGCGATTCCTACTCGCACTTGGCCGTTTTTTTGCTGTTGGCCTATGTTGATGTGAAATTGAACGATACTACACATTTGGACCTTTATAAATACATTAATTGTGAGAATCTATTTCTCCATGCTTCTGTCAATTGCTACAACTATGTTTAAGGTGAATAAGTGAATTAAGACCTATTCATAACATTTTTTTTTCACGCGTGCAACATTGTTCTTATTAAAATATATGAAAATGTATATAGATTGTATTATTATGTGATGTGATAATGTGATATGTACAAATATTGTTATGTACTGTGAAATAGTACAAACGTGAATATATTGTCATTGTTTCATAGATAATATTATTTATATATTTTTTGTTTAAGAATAACGGGATTTTATATAAATATTTGTAATAATGCTTGTGTAATTTTTTTATTAAGCGATATCCATTTATTGTTCACTGAAAATGTTGGTTCAATAGTTGGTTGGTTTACTGTAAGCACTATTAAATTTAAAATTGTGAATTTTTATAGATAAATGAACAAAATCTTTCGGCGGTTCTGTAGTACCAATAATATAAAACTAAATTTTTATAGATAAATGAACAAACACTCGGCGCTGTGGGATTCGAACTTGTGTCTTCTGTTTTCGCGCCCAGCCGCTATACGACAAGCTAAGCGGCCGGTGACGTCACAGCGCGAAAATCTCGACATCTATCTACGTTATTTATTGCATTTCATTTAGAAAAACTTGACGAGTACAAAAACGACAGAGGGCCAGAAAGATAGATATTTTTTTATATTTTCTTACAGTTTTGTAGGCAAAGACCATCCTTGTAATCTGGGGTATATAGAAAGGCTTAAGATTTCTTCTGCCCGTCGTAAAAGAGGGCATAAGTTCTTTGTGTACCTTTGGAAAGGAATTTTTCACGCTGTACTTATGTCCCAATTGGCTTAGTTGATAGTTTCCCTATCTGTTGCGCCTGAGGGTGTGGGTTCAATCCCTCACTACTGGAGAAATATTGTGTGACGAACACAGTGTTTTTCTGGTTTTAGGGGTGTTTATATACAGCGTGTCGTTACCATCGTGATAATAAAGGAACACACGTCTAACGCTACTTGCCAAAAATTATAAAAAAAACATTAACGTTAAACAAAATCCATAATTGAAAAAAAAATTTTCAAACAAACTAATTAAGTAAAAAAAGAAACAAAATTTGTAACATCCTATACAACTCGCGCCACAGCGTCGCATTACAAGTCTCTCCTAACAGTATGTTTTGTCTCTTTTAAATTCGTTCAACCCATTCATATGATTTGTAACCTATACAAATACTTTACGTTACAGTTTTATACGTAAGGGTGTTCTAAAATTGTTTCTTTCGGAAAATTTAATAACTCGGTAAATATTGATGTTTAAAGAATGTAAATGTTTAATACAATTTTAAAAAGTTATCCTCTATGTGTGTGTTCATTTATTGTCGCGGTGGTAACGACACGCTGTATATCTATAATATAATATGTTTATAAATTTATTCATAAAAAGTCCGTTTAATTATATTTATCAGTAACTTTGTACCCATAGTATAATTTTGCTTAGTTTGGAACTAGATCACGTTGTTAAACGGTTTTATTTAGCTCGACCCGTACGGAATTTGTTTGTTTATTTATTTGGGTCAAAATTAGAAATTGAAATTTAAGCACCTTGCCGTTGTCAGATTGATCTGAAATTTGGTACACACATTTAATTTAGATGACAATAAAATATTAACAAAAAAAAATTTTACAAAAAAAAAACATAAAATAAAACGGTTTAACTTAAAAGTTTTTTAAAGTAATTATTTTATGTCACAAAATTTCTTTATTTGTTCATGGGAGGGGCAGATTGGGCAGATTTCATGTTTTTTTAATGAATGAATAGAATAGTAAATTAAAAATAAAGTAATTTAAAGATACATTTAATATCAGATAATTATATTACGGTGGTAGGGCGACTGAACAGTGTTCGCTGTTGCACGAATGGGCAGGTCCGTCCGGGTAAGTACATCACAGAAGACCTTCGTCTGGTGAGTGAGGTAGCCGGGGCCCACATTATTAAGAGGTGGCAACGCATCTGCAACCCTACGGGTGTTGCAAAGTTGAACCGCCAGCTCGTTTGCCACTTTCTCACATAAAAAAATAAAATAAAATTATGAGTAAGGTAAGGTTTGCGGAACAGTAGTTACCACCCATTTAAGGTTTTATTTTAATCGCAGCCGATATTTGGTAGGTGCGCTTCCTTGTACAACTCGTCCCAGAATTGCATCCTTTCTCGATCAGCGTATTTCCCCATGCACATGGGCTCCTCGATCTTCAAGTACTCCTTCCCACGCGTGGTGTATGGAAGCCATTGGACTCCCAAGCGATCGTCAGGTGTTGGGTTGCTGTGAAAAGGCATGAAAGATTTGTTCAAACCCTGTTTATTACAAACATGGACCCATATCTTATCCTTTAAACGAGCAATTCTTGTATATATATATAATCGGAATCTCGGAAACGGCTCCAGCGATTTTCATAAAATTTAGTATGTGCGTAGATTCGGGGGCGAAAAATCGATCTAGCTAGGTTTCATTTTTAGAAAATGGCCTTTTATCCCTGTTTTCAGGGAATGAAAAATATAATTCGAATATGACGGTAAATTTCGCCACAAGAGAAAATGTCATAATAGCTCGGTCGGTAATCGGGCGGCTCCAAAACAGACGGCCGTGGTTCGCGTCACGATCATTTACACATAAATTTTTTACGTTTTTTTCGATTCCAGATCATTGCTTTCTTTATTTTTAATTTTTTGTCGATTTGTTTTTTGTTTTTTTTTTCCCTTTTTTTTAAAGTTCTTTCTTTTGAGAAAACATCAGTTCATATATTCTTATTATTAAGTCGGTAAGATCGTAAAATATTATGCATATTTCATTACTCAGTAATTAGTATCTAAATGTAATTTCCAAAATACACGATTTACCAAAAAAAAAAAAAAACAAACCGAACAAAGCTCGGTCCTCCGGGTACTACATTATAATATATTAAGTATGTGTATGTAAATAAGGTATTTATCTTATAAATTTAGCGAAACTTTACCCACACCCCTTAATTAGTCTATACATGTTAAGTCCATCCAAAGGTTATATTTTTACCATGGTATGTGCAAGAAAGAATATTCAATCAATCAATCAATCAATCAATGCACCCAGTTTAAATACTTTAATTCATGTGTTCTGTTACTTTTCGTGTAGGTCTCTGACTGTTGGTACAAATTTTTATGTGCGCTCCCAGTATTACCAGATTAATGTACTTTCTTTATCCGCATGGTAAGAAGAAAAATCGGTATTTTATTCGCAATAACATGGGTTGCAAATCTTTCAACTTTGAACGTAATTACGTATCTTTATTCTAAATTGCGTTAAATTTAGTTCGGCCTTTGTAGCGTGAAATGGCGAGCAAACACTATTGCGTTTGAATTTTATGATGACTTGGAGAACTCCTTTACAATACAGGATAGTGTCGTTTTAAAATGTTGTATCCAAAAAATGAGCCGTGATAGCTCAGTGTCCGGGCGTTCGCCTTTAATTAAATATACTCGAGAAACCTGAGTTCGATCCCCGGTGCCTGCACCAATGAAGTTTTAAACTTTAAGTGCTGACTTATCACGTGCTCCGCGGTGAAGGAAAACATCGTGAGGAAACCTGCATATTTTCGAAAAAATTACAAAAAAAAATATATTTCGAAGGTGTGTGAAGTCCACCAATCCGCAGTGGAGCCGCGTTTTGGCCTATGCCCTGATACCCTCTGTATAGAGGAGGCCTTAGCCCAGCAGTGGGAGTGGGACATGTATAGGCTGTTACTTTACTACTTTGCTTTTATCCAAAAAATATTAATTCACGATTCCTTACCCATATTTAGCGAAGTTCGTCCACAGCGTTGTCACCTTAAGCGCCAGTTCCCTGAGCCGCGGCTGCTCATCGTAAGGCCTCTTGTTCAGGAAGTTGTAGAACATGTAGAACAACTCGTCGGCATGGGCCGCCCCCTTCAAGTGGTCGTAACCCGAATAGTTCTTTATGATGTTGAGGTCCGTGTCGTAGTTGAAACGGTACATGAACACCGGCTGCCTCGAGGCGGCATGCAGTCTAGCGAATCTGTGCGTGTTGTAGAAGAAGTGGATGTCGCTGCCGAGCCTCTCGATGGTGACAGGGTCGTCCCTAGTGAAATTCCCGCCGCCCGCGTAGAACTGCCTCAGTCTCCCGCCGAACTGCCTCAACTTGTCGCCGCTCACGTTCTCCGCCAGCTCCCTGGTGACGAAGTAGGAGGGCTCCGCGTTGTACACGTCCAGCTTCTCCGCGAGGTAGTTTATCAGGACCAGGTCCTCGGCGGAGTTGTAGCCGACCATCAGCGGCACTCGGGCCGCGCCCCTACGGAGGGTGTCCAGCGGCTCCTCGTCCATAAACGCCTCCACCCCGTCGAACTTCCTCTCGACGACCGGTATAAAGTAATCGGGCAGCCCCCTATACGTCTCGTCGTACGTCATCGTTTTCTGCGCGAGGTTCGTGAGCAGCGTCGGCTTCAATCCGCGCAAGTGCTTTAGTAGGTCGTCGGTGTTGTTCGTGTCTACGCCGAGGAGTCGCCCCGCCCTGAAGGCCCTTTCCCTCGCGCGCCTGTCGACCGCCCAATCGTGTATGGTTGTGCCGCTCTGCGCGATCACCTTATGGAACAGCCCCCTCGCGATAGGCGACAGCATGTGCGCAGTAACCGAGCCGGCGCCCGAGCTCTCGCCGAATATCGTCACGTTGTCCGGATCGCCGCCGAACTTGGCGATGTTCCCTCTCACCCACCTCAGTGCGGCGACCTGGTCCTTCATGCCGCCGTTGCCGGGCACCTCGGGCGTGTCCAGGCACAGGAATCCCAGCAGCTCCAAGCGGTAGTTCATAGTGACCAGGACGACGTCGTGTCTCAGCAACAGATCCGGGCTGAAGGTCTCGGAGTTGCCCGAGTTGTAGCTGTAGCTGCCGCCGTGGATGAACACCATCACTGGGGTCTTGGCATTGCGGTCCAGGGTCTTGGTGTAGACGTTCACGAACAGGCACTCCTCGCTGCCCTCGATCAGTTTAGAAATGGACAGATCGTATTGAGTGCAGATGGGGCCGTGTTCGATCGCATCTCGGATACCTTGCCAAGGTTTTGGCGGTAATGGCGCCTGGGAAATGGAAAATTGTATAAAATGTTTCATGTCTGACGACAGTTTGGGGGGTAGAAATATTTCAGTATTTTCCCGACGTGATCATGGATGATAGAATTTGTTTCACAAAATATTCAATTGTTTCAGTTAAGCTTTTTACGGTGGTAGGGCCACGCGGCAGCCTCGGCTGCTGCACGAATGGGCAGGCCCGTCCGGGTAAGTACCACGACCTCACAGAAGACCAACGTAAAGTGGAAGTATGACAAATACTTTCGCGTTTCGTCTGGTGAAGGAGGTAGCCGGAGCCCAATTTTCAAAAGGTTGTCAACGCATCTGTAACCCTCGGGTGCAGCAGATGTCCATGGGCAGCGGTATTCACTTACCATCTGGTGAACCGTCTGCTCGTTTGGCAACTTTTCACATAAAAAAATAAAAAGCTTTTGCTAACCTCTGTAAGATATTGACGCCACTAGCAATCTTCAATCTACCTATTTTCAATAAAGTCTAAATACATGAAGCGTTTTCCATTAAGCGACACAGAACTCGAATTTTACACTCAATTACATTTTATTCTTGTAGTACATATTTAATATAATGCTTTTAATTTCATAACAAGCGGACCGTACACGCGACTAAAATCCGATAACTTAAAAAAAAAAATAAAAAAATGTGGATCTTAACCATTCTCGAATCGATCTGCGGACACTAAAAATTTCATTAAAATCGGTTCAGCCGTTAAGGAGGAGTTCAGTGACATACTCGCAGAATGATGAGAACAGATGAATTTTATATATTAGATTAGGAGTTGTAACATTTGTTAATACTTTCACGCCTTATAAAAAACTTAAAACGGAAAGTTTACGGAATACGGAATGAGTTTCACACAGTACTGAGTACATTAAACAATCCCGAATATCTTACCCGGAATCTTGCTTCGCCGAGCGGCGCCTGAGCGTAAGGGATGCCTTTGAAGCTGTAGTAACTAGATCCGTCTAATAGAGTTCCCACGGCACCTCTTAATTTGCCTTCCCTTACAGTCACTATAGGATTTCCCTGAAATTAAACCAAAGATCCGCATCAATTTGTACTGCGCAAATATATTGTACTTATAGTTAGTATATTATATTAAACGTTCTGAGGAAGGACCACGGGCCAAGTACCAAGACCTCACAGAAGACCGGCGTGAAGTGGAAGTGATACTTCTGCGTTTTGTTTGGTGAGTGAGGTAATCAGGAATTTAATTGAAAGGTGGTACGCATTTGAAACCCTACGGGTATTTTAAATGGGCGGCGGTTATCACTTGTATAAAAAAATTAAAAAAAAATCTTATATCTGAGATGTTTTTCATCTGGCATATGGAACGGGCGGTCCACCGAACAGTGGTAAATAACAGTATTTAAGTATATATGTCTTGTCTATGCACAGTACAAGTTCTTTCTTTTGTGAAAAACATCAGTTCATATTTTCTTATTATTACGTCGGTAAGATCGAAAAATATAATGCATATTTCATTACTCAGTAATTTGTATGTGAATGATATTTCCAAAACACACGATTTACCAAAAAAAAAAAAACAAACCGAGCAAACGGTGGTTCTCCGGGTACTTTAAGTATATATGTCTTATCTATGCACAGTACATAGATATACACTAAATCCTTAGGGTTGAGTTGTCAACCTTTAAAATACGAAACGATCTCCCGTGAGCCCATAGCATTTCTTCGAGCGAACAAGTCCATAACTATTTCGCACTCATATAGGAACATTCAAGACGATCTACCTTAATATTATAAATAATCTTGTAGGTGTTATTTTTACATTGAGTGCACAAATAACAAAGAGACTTTGTTTTTTGTTATTGTGTCTTTCTGGTGCAGTGTTTTTCGCATATTATTTAGATACCACTTATCATTTTGTAACTCATGTTTATATTTGTGTTAAAGTGTGAACTCTGATGCTTTAGTAAATTAGTTAATGAAACTGGCTTTCTATCCAATCATCTTACAATATAAAAAAGTCGTAATTGGCAAAATGTAATTAAAAAAATATATATAAGTTACACTTATTTTTCATATATAAGTTTCGTATAGTTATTAGCAACTTACTTGAACATGTTTTTCTTTTATTCCACCACTAATACAGCGATGTATGGTCAAGCACAAAATAAGAAAACCTGCAAATCCCTTTAAACTCACCATCGTCGTTCGCAAAAGTATTATTAGGTAACGTTTGTTACACTGCTGTTTCTATCGCATCGAGATCCACACTGAATGACTGAATCACCGAACAAGTTTATTGTGGAGACAAGCGTTGAGAAAACGAGCCGTTTAAACACGCCGTTAGTTTAGACAACGATTAATAACAGTTAACGTCGACGGACAAACAGTTATATCATATTCGTATATCATTGGAACATTTGTACACTCGACAATCGTTTCTCGAGTGTACCAATGTCAAACCTTCAGCGAGTCGAGTTCAATTTTTACTAGTTACTAATATTTGCCCATGATGTTGCAAGTTTGGGTGATCTGATTATGAAACCACGTAGTGACACGCGAATAAAATAAATAATTAAGTCTAATTCATTTATTTTCAAATAATGATAAATCATTACATACTTAAATATATAATAATTGGATAATATTTATTCAGATTTCGATTTTAAGTTTCGGCTTAAGTACACAAAGTAGCATACGTACATTTTTATACTATTTATATTATTTACATTTTAATAATATATATGACGCGTGTCCACATTGCGCGGCGTTTAAAAATTGCTCCGCTTTACTTTATTTGACATAATTCTGTAAGTGAATTTGACAGATGATGATAGAACGTATGATACGGAAAGAGATAGCAATCTATCGAGTTGCAATCTAATTACACCAATTGGCGTGATTTGTGTGCCTCAGTTTCGATGCGCTAGTGTCATATCTATCTCATATTTGTATACCTTTATATATATAATTCTTCTGTACGTGTGCACCTATGTCTGGACTTAATAAACGGCTGGACCGATTTTAATGAAATTTTTGTTTCTTCAGGTCGATTCGAGAATGGTTTAGATCAGTTCTCAAAGTGATCTAAATCGACCCCTAGGGGTCTATGACAACCTGCGAGAGGTCTTCGTCAGCGAAAAAAAATTTGGGGTTCCATGAAATGAAAATGGGGGTCCATGATAGTGGATCTCAACACATACACTGATAGTACCTATTTACTTACATCATACTATTTTATAATGTAAAAACATATACATTATTTATAAAAGTACCTATGAAGTAAAAAATTTATTATATATGTTTATAAAATTGTGTAAGTTGTAGGATGTTGGTATTCGCTTTGTGGTCGCAATACATTTTGAACTTGTAAAAACCTGAGAGTCGCAGTCTCAGAGCTTCGCTACCTTGCACTGACTTGTTCAATTCGTCACTCTATAAATACGAATGTGGGACAAATACGTTTTTTCGTTTCCTGAATCTTGAAAAGGAAAGGCAATATTAAGTAGAAAGGTAATAATAATAATTATTAATTTAGAAAGAAAATATTTTAAAAAAATATTTATTTTACAACATTAAATAACAGATACAAAATTTTATTTTGAGTAGTTAATTTAAATTCAATTAATAAATGTATAAATTAACATATGTTTTTATTTTAAGTTTTTAACACTAAATTTCACTACAGTTAGAAATTTACAGGAAATCAATATCAGGTAAGTAGGGGGTCTACCCAACACGGAAAAACATGGCAAAGGGGCTACGACACAAAAAAGTTTGGGGAACTCTGGTTTAGATTCACAATTTTTTTTAATTTATAAGTTGTTGCCGGATTTAAGTCTCGTGTTCAGGACAACGTCTTTCCGATCCGCTAGTAATATAAAAAGTTGATCAGAAGTTGTTGAATCAAGGAATCCCTCAAACTTAAATAAATGAATCAATGTGTGCAAGTGTTTACTTCTTTAGATTCATAATGTGCTCATTGGTAAAGCAACATGTAGGTAATAAGGAAACCTGTACATCTTCGCAATAATAATAAAACTATTTCAAAGTTATTGGGAAGTCTGCACTACAGCAATGGAGTCACTCGTACAGAAGACGCCTTTGCCCAGCTGTAGGGCTTGTTGTATAGGCCGTTACTTTTTACTTTTAGTACTAGTCGCGTTGTTTTTTTTAGATACATAAATGAACAAAAGCTTTACCAACTAAGCCAAGCGGTCGATGACCTCACGGCGTTAATATATTGATATCTTCGTTCTTTATTGCCATCTAGGTAGTGTGCGCGCCCTGAAGGCTCAGATTCGAATCTTACAGCGCCGAAAGTTTTTGTTCAGTTAACTAAAAAAAAAATGACGTCTTAAATATCATTTAAATTTATTTAAAAAGTAAAGTTTTTTAATTAACAACTGTCTTGAATATAAGGGGACCCCGCTTCACTGTAAACATCATTCCAAAAAGTCATGCGGTCGCCATTTGCATATTTTCCAAATGCCATTTTATCTTCTATTTTGGAATACTCTTTCCCGGATCTCGTGTACGGAGGCCATTTTGCCCCCAAGCTGTTGTCCGGTGTTGGGTTTCTGTTGCGAAAATAAAACATAATATTACATGATTTATTACGAAACATCGTTAAATCTAGATAACCAAATTATGTCTTCAAATCATGGGGCTTATAACTACAGTTGGCAACACTCATTAACACAAGTTAAAAAAAACACCTGAGTTTTTTAAGTCAGAAAAACAGTGATTTTTGTACGTAAGAAATCTAAAAAGGGAAAAATTCAAGACAGGTGCACTTCAGTGGAATAAGAACCTTAGATACTACCTATACAGATAATTCTGCCCCTGCCAATCGTTTGCTGTATGTAATAATAAAGGAGATTCACACAGTTTTGTAGAAAAATTTTTCTTTTTTTATCAGAAGTTAACCGATAAAACAAAAGTTAACCGTTAAAACAGACGTTAGTCAGAATGAGTAACACGCGTATCTAATATTTTTGTCGTTTCTCTGAATATTTATGAAACGATGTTTTCGACTAAGCCTCACCAATTGCTCACTCAATTGACTCAGAAAATTACCGAACTATACAAATCGCTTTTCACCCGTTTTCCTCATAGCGGAATGAGGAAAACTGAGCGTGTGTCATATTGTTGCAATAGGTAATAAAATGAAAAAAAAAAAAAAAAAAAAAAAAGGATTTTGGTTCAATAAAACTGTATTTATCTATGGTCACAGAACTTTAAAACTGGTTTAGAATTCGACACATCAAGAGTTGAAAAGATAATTAGAGATAATTAAAAAGAATAGTGTAGTAGCGTAGTAGGGAATATATAATAAGTATTCAAACATTAATATTACCTATAAATATAAAACCCAAGCGAAACTCTTCGCTGTTGCATCAATGGGCAGGTCTGTTCGGGTAAGTATTACGACCTCACACAAGATTGGCGTGAATTGGAAGTGCTATACTTCCAAGTTCCTACATAAGTGACCTCAAATTATGTAGATTGGCGTCAAGTGGAAATTTTATACTTCTGCGTTTCGTGGTGAGTAAGGTAGAGTCCACAGGCAGAGGCGGCGACTTTATTAAAAGGTGGCAACGAATCTGCAAACCAACGGATGTTACAAATGTCAGTAGTTGGTGGTTGTCACTTAAAACGAGATGAACCGCCAAACCAAAAACGGTTTGGCGGTTCATCTCGTTTTAAGAACGATGAACGGCGGCAAACCTTCAACCAATTGTCTCTTCGAAAAGAGAAATCATTTTGTACTTTCACTTACCCGAATTTGGCGAAGTTGGTCCATAAAGTGGTGACCTTCATGGAGAGTTCTCTCAGTTTCTCCTGTTCGTCGTAGGGTTTTTTGTTCAGGAAGTTGTAAAATAGATAAAAGAGCTCATCGCCGTGACTAGCGCCTTCCAGCTGAGCGAATCCTGAGAATTTCTTCAGGACGTTCAAGTCTGTATCGTAGTTAAATCTGTACATGTAGACCGGCATACTAGATGCGCTGTAAAGATGTGCGAATCGGTGAGTATTGTAAAAGAAGTGGATGTCGCTACCGATGCGTTCGATCGCTTGAGGATCGTCCATTGTTAAATTCTTGCCACCCAAATAAATTTGTTTTATTCTGTCGCCGAATTCCAGCAGTTTCGTTTCGGACACTTTCTCCGCTATCTCCCGCTGAACGTGGTAAGAAGGATTTGCGTTGTAGAATTCGAGCCTCTGCGATAGATACGTTATCAGCGTCAAACCCTCTGCCGAATTGTAGCCGATCATCAGAGGCACTTTGTTCACTCTACCCTTGGCCAGCATATCTACAGGCTCCTCGTCTATAAATGCTTGAACGCCTTTGAATCTCTTCTCTACCACCGGAACGAAATAATCGGGCAGGCCTCTGTACATTTCTTCGTTCGTCATGGTCTTCTGAGCGAGATTCGTGAGCTTGGTGGGCTTGAGACTACGCAGGTACTGAAGCAGCTCGCTGGTGTTGTTCGTATCCTTTCCTAGAAGCTTCCCCGCTCGGAATGCCCTGGCCTTAGCGTTTCTGTCGTTCGCCCAGTCCTGGATGCAAGTACCCGCTCTCAGCGATCGCCCTGTGGAACAGACCCTTGGACATAGACGAGAGCAAATGCGAGGTGACCGAGCTGGCACCTGAGCTCTCGCCGAAAATCGTGATGCTGTCAGGATCGCCGCCGAATTTAGCAATGTTTGCCTTGACCCATCGCAAAGCCGCCACTTGATCCTTCATACCTGCGTTGCCAGGCACCTCGGGGGTGTCCACGCACAAGTAACCCAACAACTCCAGCCGGTAATTCATCGTAACTAAAACTACATCGTGCCGCAGCAGCAGATCCGGGCTGAAGGTCTGCGAGTTGCCGGAATTGAAGCTGTAACTGCCGCCATGGATGAACACCATCACGGGAATTTTGGCGTCCGCTCGCAAGGATTTCGTGTAGATGTTCACGAATAAGCAATCCTCGCTGCCCTCGACTATTTGCGAGGTCGAAAGATCGTATTGCGTGCAGACGGGACCATGATCGATAGCGTCGCGGATCCCTCGCCACGGTTTCGGTGGTAATGGCGCCTGGAAGTTGTGAAAATGATAAACAAATATGAAGTTGGCGGTTGGTGTCGGTCGGGACTAGGTCGATATGCAGTCTGAAGGCACAGGTTCGAACTGCCTGCTGTTAAAATGAAAAATATAAAATGCAGCAAGTTTTTAGTTGTAAGTAGTAGTATTATAGTAGTAAGTAAAATGAACAGTTTTTTTCAGTCCAGTTTTCCAATAAATAATTGATTGTGAAACCAAGTATAGATTCTTTCACAAAATTTACTAAACGAATAACTTATATAAATTTGATACAAGAAGTGATTGCTATCAGCTGGGTCACCGACTTACAGGTCACGGAATTAAATTGGTTTCACTGCACTCACTGCAGTTGAGAATTAAACTAAGTTGTGACTAAACGTCTCAGGATTAATACGACGAATATCTAAGTGTAACCCATAACAATCTTCCCGCCTATGTATTTGATTCTAGGTACCTGAAATCGGAGCTCGCCAAATGGTGCCAGTGCATAAGGGACTCCTTTAAAACTGTAGTATCTTGATCCGTCCAAAAGATTCGATATAGTTCCTCTCAACTTTCCTTCTTTAACGGTTACTATGGGATTCTGAAATGTAAATGCTCGCATAATTATGTGTTTAGTTGTGATACTTGTTAATAATTGTTTGTCCCGTAAATATATAAACAAAAGTTGTATATTTGTTTGCTATTATATATTTGCTGTTGTTATACGGAAATTAATAATTATGGTTTTCGATTCCTACAGATTATACGAGTAAACGAAACGATTTTCAACTATTTGCTCCCTTAAGCCAAGTTAAAATTGCCAAGTTATATTTGCGTAAGTCGTACGTTTCCATATATTTTTTGTTGACATTCCATGTACTTTTATCATGCTATTCGCTTTGTTATGTACTACGGCGTATAGCATAGAAAAATCTGACGACGCAAGCCTTAAAGGCAAGGTTTTAACTGAGATAATGCATTTATTATCTGCGGCTGCGTTGCCATCGCTTATTTATATAAATAATTGTACAGTGAGATAGGACTTACTGTGGCATTATTATCATCAGTTTCACAACACACTGCTGATATCCATATAAACGTTACTATCACTGTCCACCTGGCCATTGTCTACAAATTCACGACTCGTGTGGACGGCGGCTGATGCCAGAATGCCGCGCTTTACTGTCCATTATGATCCGTTAGTAATGTTCTCTGGTCACTCAGATCCGACAGCTTAGTACATGAGTTAGCATCACAAGTATACCAGGGCTTCGAATCCCAACCAAAACCATAGATGCTAAGGTTTTGGCTCTCCAATTTATCTCATCCGATGCCGAGTCTCGCTATTATGTTGTTTTTATATGATAACAGAAATATCATCATTTAAAAATGTATCCTACATATTTTGGAAAAAATAAACAAGTACTGATTAATCATATTAATAAAATCATATTATTATCATTATTATTTAAAGAACCTATTATTTATTTGGTGAATATTTATTTATTGGGTATATTCAATACAATGTAAAGTTATATTACAGCCAATTGTTTACAGTTATTGTTATAACGAGTCACTAAAATATAAACATGTTCAACTATAAAATCGGCTTACATCTATCACGATAATGACACACTCATATAATATACCTATCGAAAAAGAGAACGAGCATACATAACGGAAAAGCACTATACATAACAGAGGCTCGTTATAGTATCTTATTTTTAAGATGTGATAATCTGGAAACATATTGTGATTATGCTGTTGTTTTCCCGAATAAATAAATAAAATAAACCGTCTGTCGATTAGTTCATATTTACACGAATTTTCGCATTTAAAAAATATCGTGATAATAACTACATGAAAATAACAAAAGCTATTGTATAAATCAATCACTATTAACGATGTAAGCAACGTTTGCTTCCTTGTAGATCTCGTTCCAGAATTTCACTCGCTCCTTCTGAGCGTATCTTCCCATGGAAGGATTCTCCTGAAGATTCAAGTACTCCTTGCCTTCTGCAGTGAATGACAGCCATTTGACTCCAAAGCAGTTGCCGGGCGTCGGGTTCCTGTGGGCAAAACGTAAAGTAAAACTATTTTGTCTCTGCGTCGCCCATAGGTTGACTGGTAGAGAATGCCTTAGGCATTTAGTCCGCCTATACACAATGCTAATTTTTTTTGTGTAAAAGTTTAAATAAATAAATAAAAATAAAGTAAGAGCCTATAAATGTTCCAATGCTGGGCAAACGCTTTCTCTGTAAAGAGGGTATTAGGGCATAGTCCACCACGCGACCCCACTGCGGATTGGCGGACTTCAAATATTTTCGAAGAAAATGTTTGTTATTATTTAGGTTTTCCTTCAACGTCGAGCACGTGATAAGTCAGCACTTAAAACTAACAATTTCATTGGTGCCGGCATCAGGGATCGAACTCAGGTTGCTCGAGTATATTGATTTAATGGCGAGCGCTCGGACACTGAGCTATCACAGTTATCGGCAAAATGTAACAGCCTCTTAAAAACTAACAAATTATTATTAATAATTTCTGTTACTGGAATGCTCTGAATAAAGGCCTTGGGCACTGAGGAACCATGGCTTATTTTTTTTAAACATATAAAATTTATAAGTTTCAAACGCATAAATTCTAGTTTATTTTAACAGAACTTCGAGCAATTTTTAGTTCATCTAAACATGACTTTAAATCTTACTTTCGAGTCGTTTAAGACGGAATACAATAACTAAAGGTGTTTGACCGGACTAGACATTAAACAGAATAGATAAGAAGGAATGACTAAAGATATGAATTTGTACCTATGATAAGATTTTTTATAAAATTGAACGCTATACCAATGTCGTAAAGTTTAAATCATTCAACTCGTAATTCACCGTTTGCGTTTATGTTTACAGGTAAAAGGGTAATGTTAGCAAAGTTTGCTTTTATTTTGTAAAAAAATGATGTGTCAATTTCCATCGCCAACACCAGTAAGTTTGAAAGCAAAATACTTTAAAACCGACATGTTAGGAGAAACTTTCATCAAAACAAAACAAATTAAACAGTAATAATTTGTTTTTAACAGAACCACGGAAAACACGTAAGGTAGAATTTAAATTCGCGATCTATGTTCATGAATAAACGTCTAATGCCAGTCATGCCACCACTGTACCAAGTCTTCTTCGTATACGTCACACAATAAATTGTTATTGGCAATTTTTGTTTATACATTTCAATTTTAATTAAAAACGAGAGATAAATGGAATAAAATCTCTTGCCGTTAACGCTTTTTTAATGCATACAGTAACACTATCTGGTGAGATCGCTCGTACTTAGATGCGAAAGAATCACTACATAGTATAAAACAAAGTCGCCCCGCGTCTGTCTGTCCCTATGTATGCTTAGATCTTTAAGAACTATGCAACGGATCTTGATGCGGTTATTTTTATTAGATAGAGTGATTAAGAGGAAGGTTTATATGTATAATACGTTGCACCCGCGCGATGCCGGGGCGGGTCTATTCGCTAGTTATAAATAAGTCATAAGTGCAGAGCCGGGAAGAATCAAATTGCGCCCACAACCAAGTCTCTACTCAAACTAATCTAAATTTATTCTGCTGCGCAAAAGTAACTCATGTGGTCATGTGTGTAGTATTATATAATTTCTCTGGCAAGTCCACGAATAGATACGTTTTAACTGCGTAGTTTTATACGCTTTATAAACATATGAATCCACTCAATAAATACCTCCGGCAACACAATGGCCGTTCCGAGGTGGACAAGTGATTCAGAAAATCCCGGATTGAATTTACCTTAAGGAAAAGACACTTGTTATTACACGTTTAAGACGATCTTTCCTTATCGCCAGAGGAACAGTCTTGCGCTGAATATTCATTCATTACTAGCTGCTACCCGCGACTACGTCCGCGTAGAATAGGCTGAAGGCGTAACATTCAGACAGAGAGACAGATATACATAAAAATATGTATATAAATTACAGCCTATTTGTTATTATGATGTTTAAGCCATATTATTGCAAATTTTCATTAAAATCCATTCAGTAGTATTTGCGTGAAATATTAATAAACATCCATCCATACACACAAAATTTCGCGTTTATAATATTAGTAAGGATATTAGTAAATATAATGAAACTTTTCTTTGTGTCTATTTCTAATACTTTCTAGCATTCTTTGTCACGGAGATGTCAGACGTCCTAATGTCACTATTAATGCGAGTTTTAAAATAATTTATTTTATCGGATCTACGCAGTAGGTGTTACAGTATTTAATAACATTTTATTTAACAATGTACAGATTGTAGTATTGGAGTAGATACAAAATAAATCGTTGTAGGTAACTACAATTATCTTGATAGAATGTCTAGTGTATGTCCGTGCTTTAGACAGGAAAAGATTGCAAAATATTTGCAAAGTTATCTTGATTGAATGTCTATCGTATGCACCATTATTAGACAGTAAAAGATATATTGATTAAGACATTTGCAGTTTTTTCGTCTGTAAATTTTAGTTTTTTGTCATCGTTGCCTATATTGTCCTTTTTTGAAGTTACTTCTTTTGGTGCGTTTGGAAAAAAATATGAGAATAAAATTTTTACGATAGCGACGTGATGATATTGGTTTCAACCGACCAATTTCATGGTATTACCATGGCATAAAATAATAACATTTTGACATTTACCTATAATTCCAATTTATTTAATTAAGCCGTTGCATAACAATTGCATTTAAATGTATTTACAAACAAAGATTACTGGCACAGGAGGTAAAATTAGTTATCTTTATTTAGTTACGCTAAAGAAGTTACTTCTAACGTGTGTACACAAGTACACCCATACTTTTTTTTTAAATATTACTATCATTGTCGTCCGTCAAGAAGTAGACGTATTCCATGTCAACTCTTTGACCAGTAACCAGCATTTTCAATCATAATAAGGTTAAAATAATTGCCTTATTACGTTTATTTTTTAACGTTTATTTCTTTTAATTTTTATTCCTTGGTGGTGTCATTTTAATTCCTTGGAACTAAGCTACTGACTTTGGCATTGGGGGTCGTGGGTTCGATTACTGCCCGGGACAAGTATTTTTGTAGCTTGCAGATAATTTTTCCCGATTTGAGTGTTTGTTCACATGGAGAGTTGACGCCGGACAGGCGGCAAGGCGTAAATCAACCTGAATAGCCAATACCACGGACAGAATGATTTACTTTGTGCCGACCTTAAGTGGGCATGGGTGGGAGAAGAATGATGATTTGTTTAAAATTTTTGTTTATGTTTGGCCCAATTTTCAAAAGGGTGTCAACGCATCTGTAACCCTCGGGTGTAACAGATGTGGCATTCGCTTAACATCAGGTGAACCGCCTGCTTGCTTGTCAAATTTCAGTCTTGCTTGTCTGCTTGTCAGTTTCGCAAATATCTCTAAAGAAAGAAATTTCATCATAATTCACTCACTGTACTTACCCTGTTTTAGCGAAATCAGCCCATAGTTTCGTCACGTCAAAGGCGATTTTCCTGAGCCTCTGCTGCTCGTCGTACACCTTCTTGTTCAAGGAGTTGTAGAAGAGATAGAACAGCTCGTCCGCATGACAGGCGCCCTTCAAGAACGAGTATTCCGAATACACCTTGATTATGTTCAAGCCGGTGTCGTAGTTGAAGCGGTACATGTAAATCGGCTCGCGCGACGCGCTGTACAGATGAGCGAATCTGTGAGTGTTGTATACGAAATGTATGTCGCTCTGAATCTCCTCGATGACTTGAGGATTGTCCTTGGTTATGTTTTTATCGCCGAAGTAGAATCTCTTCACTCTATCGCCGATTTCCTTCAGCTTCTTTTGGGAGACCCTCTCCGCGATCTCCCTTTGCACGTAGTAGGAGGGGTTTCGATTGTAGACGTCGAGCTTTCCAACGTGATCGCTGACGATGATGATCCCCTCCGCTGAGTTGTAGCCGAGCATCAGCGGCACTTTGTGTGCCTTGCCCTTCGCCAGAATCTCGACGGGACTCTCGTCGATGAAGGCTTCAACGCCGTCGAATTTGGTCTCGACGACCGGGATGAAGGTTTCCGGGAGGCCTCTGTATCTCTCGTCGGGGGTCAGCGTGCTCTCCGTCAGGTTCGTGAGTCGTATCGGTCTGACGCTGCGCAAGAACTCCAGCAGCTCTCTCGTATCCTTCGCGTCCTTACCCAAGACCTTGCCGGCCCTGAACGCCCTCTGCTTAGAACCCCTTCCGATCGCCCAGTCGTGTATGCACGTGCCGCTCTCCGCTATCACCCTGTGGAACAAGCCCTTAGACATCGGCGACAGCATGTGGTATGTGACGGAGCTCGCTCCGGAGCTCTCGCCAAAGATCGTGACGCTGTCGGGGTCCCCGCCGAACCGGGCGATGTTGTTCTTCACCCAACGCAGCGCGGCGACCTGGTCCTTCATGCCAGCGTTGCCCGGCACCTCGGGAGTGTCCAAGGACAGGAAGCCTAACAGCTCCAGCCGGTAGTTCATCGTCACCAGGATGACGTCGTGCTGCAGAAGTAAGTCGGGACTGAACGTGTCTGAGTTCCCCGAGTTGTAGCTGTAACTGCCGCCGTGGATGAACACCATAACGGGGATTTTGGCAGCATGGTCCAGCGACTTGGTGTAGACGTTGACGAACAGACAATCCTCGCTTCCTTCCACGAGCTGAGAAACGGATAGGTCGTATTGGGTGCAAACGGGACCGTGCTCTGTCGCGTCCCGGACCCCTTTCCATGGCTGCTGTGGAAGAGGCGCCTGGAATGCAAGAAACAAATTAACATATTTACCAGTAGCTGCGCGGACACTTTCTCTGGTAAGATACTAATCATCATCTGCAATCACAGAAGGTACTATGTATTTTGTTTACCTTGTTACTGTCATGGTATATCATATGTATGCCATGCTATTGATGAATGATTAGTGATCAAATTGACTTATTGGATGAGCTTATATGGATAATATTTTTATAAAATTCATAATTATAATATGTGTAATTAAACTCACTCTGAATCTCAATTCACCGAAAGGCGCTCGTGCGTATGGAATGCCCTTGAAGCTGTAATACTTAGATCCATCAACGCTGGTGGCAACTGTTCCTCTTAATTTGCCTTCTTTCACTGTAACTATTGGATTGGACTGCGAAACACAAACAGTTTTCATTCTTTGAAATAGAACAATAGAATCCATACACGTTAAAAGTAATCGTGTTTCGGACTGTTGTCTACTTTTAGGCTGGAAATGGGACGGCATGTTTTTCTTTTAATGTAAGTAATGTGTTTTTCTTGCAAGAGGACCAGAAGGAAACCACCTGCGGACTCGAGACAAACAGTTCACCCACGTTGGACCCAGGTCGGTGACCTTAATTAGCTGTTTATTTCTCCTAGATTTTAACACCCGTGGTAAAATAAATATGACAAAGTTTATCACATTATTTTAAGAAATTTATCAGATTACCTAGACCAAAATTGAACGGACCTTATTATAACGTGGAACAATACAATGAGGATCAATATGTATCGAAAATACCGTCTGTAGATAGAGGGTCTATTCCATACTTGTCCCACATATTATTTAAAACTGTCTAAATTTCTCGCGCGTTATTTAAAGAAGTTTTAACTTTACATGACTTTTAAGAACAATCCAAAAAATAATGACTACATATTATAATAACTAAGCGGATATAAAATTAAAATCCAATCAATTCGTGTCGCATATAGGTACGCTGCGTAATTTTGAAGTCTAATAATAAATTGATCATTAATGAATATGGTCCTGTTGCTAAGAACAACTTGTTTTGAAGGGTCTGCTTTATTACTTACTTATTTATCCCACAACTCAATCAACAGTACCACAGATTTAACATAATTTTTTTGATTTCTTGAATTTAGTACAAACAAACTCTTCAATTGCTTTAAATAACGAAGTCTAAAAAATAAACATAACATCGCCATTAATTATTTTTTTAAGATAACGCTATCGTATATTGCGATTGATAGTTCCTTTCGTGTGAATATACGATACACAGATTATTTTTTTTCCTCATACATTGATTATTTGCGAACGAAGAAATTGCACAGGTTAAGGTCATTGATAAACTGCATTCACCTTGACATGGGCACTCTACTGGTCTATGTAGCGATGTTGATAAACAGAGTAGTAATACAATTTGTTTATTTGTTAACGTAATTATATATAAGGAATTTGTAAAATCTGGATTAAGAATTGCCAGAATTAAAAGTGAAATCTATAAGAAAATATAATGAACTTAACTGAAAATGACTCACTTTAAATTTTTCCGACTCACCGTGTCCACCACAGTTTTTAAACATAACGAGAATCATTAGAAAATTTGCAACTAACGTAAAAGTCATCATAACAAAATATTTTAACTTAACATTCAAATAAAATAGACCAACACACTAGTGTTTCGTTTCAAGAACACTACCAAGTGTGAACAGTAAACGTAATTTCATGAAAACATTGTTTTAAATATTCCACAAGCAATAATATCATAACTTTGTAATTATGTACTGGTAATTTTTAAATTTATCCTAATTACTTTGCAATTAATATATATTTCACATATTTAATGCGATAATTTATCGATTGTAATTTATTATTACCACTGTGAAAAAACATTTATCTGTGGCGCAAACCATAGACGTAATATTTAATAGTAATTGTCATAAGTATGTCAGTTTGGCGGGAGAATTAAATCACAGCGTACTTTGTAATATAGGAAATTAATTCGAAATTAAATCGACAGTTAAAAATTAGTCTAGGGTATAAATCATATTTTTTAAATCATAATGTCGTGTTATTTTTCATCGTAAAGATTTTTATACTTTTGTAAACAAATGTTTCAAAATAAAAATAAAAAAAAAAACAAAAAGGGACTTTAAGTATTATTAGGATATGTCATGTTACGTACCTATGTATTTATTTTATTTACGTCCAATCTAAAAATAGCACTATTTAGATTTAAATAACAGGTTCTTGACGAGTCTTAGGATTTTAAAATAAAGAGCAATAAAACGCCAATATTTCATTTATTTATGTACAAAACATTAAAATAATAAATACATAATCTCTTTTTATGTTTTGTCAATACTCGTTGTGACTTGGGCTTATAATTAATTAAAACTAAGTTTTTATTTGACTAATGTTATGGTTACTACTTGGATTTGTACAAATATTTCACAACTTTATTTAAAAGAATGAAAAAAAATCGTATTTAGTTATTATTATATGAAGCATGGGTAATATGAAGAATGTTTGGCCTCTCAGAACTTTGTGTGCCTGTCAGTCTTTTTTTTAATTATGTAAAAATAAATGGCAGTTTCCATCGTGTTATCAGAGGTATTTATTTGTGTGAAAAATATTGTGAAAATAATTTTGGCACACACTCTTGTACACACACTCACGCGAGTATTGAGTTAGTTTAAATGGATACGTAAAAAAAATTTATTTATATCATTTTATAGGTATTTTTTATAACAAATAATAAAATAGAGCATTTGTTTCAAATGCAGAAACGAATGTATTATTAACGATAATTTTGGTTCGATGTCGTTTAAAACGATACAGAAAAATAAATAATAATGCTGTGAATGGACGGAGTTGTGATTTAAACAATAAAATATAGAACTAAATAGTTGCAAATTACTTTGTATTTTCTTAAAATCTAAAGCTTTTAGGAAATACTCTAGGATTTATTATGTCCCGTGGCGCGAGAGCACGTGTGAAAGCGTGAAATTTAAATTATTATTATATACATTTCGATCATATATCCTTGTATTTCCTTAGGACATCTATTACATCTCGATTAGAGTTCGTTATAAAAAATTTGAACAACTGGTTCAAAAATATAGATAGAGAACAAGTAATTTTGCTTATCGGAAGGCTTATGTGAGTATTCATGTTGAGTGAAGGAGTTTTGCGGTGAAGCCTAGAAACAGGTAGAGTGGGGTAGTTTAGCAGTGAACCCTTGCACGGTAGAAACAGGTAGAATAGGGTAGTTTTGCAGTAAAGTCTTGCACGGTAGAAACAGGTAGAGTCTATGTTGAGTAGAGAGGCTCGGCGTAGAGTCGCGAAGGCGCCGACGCGTGGCTTTGTAGTTCGCGCGCGCTCAGTAGACCGGCACGGGCGCGTCGCTTCGCTGTTGGAACGGAGGGTTGTTAATGTAAACCATCCATCTTTCTGCCTGTATTCCACCTAGGTTGGGCACGATATGCGAATCGTGTCCTAAGTGGTTTTGGGTACGTTCTTGACCATGACGTCAACCCTCCATGGTAACAAAAACGCTGATCAGAAGAAAATAGCTGTAGGTCACGCAATACTTGTGGGGGTCCCAATTGGGACATTTTCGTGGGAAACAATAAACCAGCCCTCGAGATTTTTTTACTAAAATGACAAACACATGCCGTCCTCTTGTTTATTTTTTTACTGTACACAAAACGAGGTACGAAAAAATTATAATTTATATACAAAACATAAATTATATTGCTTTAATCAAATTTAAATCGAATTTTAATCAAATTAATATTAAAAATCAATATTGCTTTAATTGCGCTATCCTGTTCATACCATGAACAGGATAGCGCAATTCATACCAGAATTCATTCATACCAGAAACGCGTGAATGTGTTATGTCACTCCGTTTGGAAATAGGAAAGCTTAACAGGTGACTGGTGGTGGTGAATCACTCTATCTAGTAAAAACCGCATCAAGATCCGTTGCGTAGTTTTAAAGATCTAAGCATACATAGGGACAGACAGGCAGCGGGACGACTTTGTTTTATACTATGTAGTGAAGACATCAGGGAGTGATAATGAAGAAGCGAGGGTTAAACAAAGGGATGAAGGAGGGAGTAAAGTAGTGTGTCGCACCGGCGGCGTGCATGCAGCACAGCGCGAGCGCTGCGAGCAGCGCAGCGGGCGGCAGCGCTGCGGCCAGCGCTAACAGCGCTGCGGCGGCTGGCGAGCGCGGGCTGTTGTTGCTGTTGCCGCAGCCCGTGATGTTGTGCACCGCGTGCGCTTCCAGCACGCGCTGCAGCGGCCCGCCCAGCTGCCGCAGCGCTGACAGCATGGCGCGCGGCGGCAGCGCTTCACCGCTGCCTCGCCGCCGCAGCTGGAAGCACGGCCTGCGCAACAAAAGACAGTTTCTCGTACGGCGCTCAGTTCAAATCTCAAGTTTTTTTTTATGTGTGAAAGTGGCAAACGAGCGGTTCACCTGATGTCAAGTGATAGCCCCCTGCCCATGGACATTTGCAACACCCGTAGGGTTGTAGATGCATTGCCACCTCTTTATAATGTGGGCCCCGGCTACCTCGCTCACCAGACGAAACGCAGAAGTGCAAAACTACTACTCTACTTCACGCCAGTCTTCTGTGACGTCGTGGTACTATCCCGGACGGAACTGCCTATTCGTGCAACAGCGAAAACTGTTGCGTGGTCCTACCACTTTAAATATCGAAATTGAACTCTTGGAGAAAACTATTTCCCAAGTTGGTAAGATAAATGGATTTAACTATAAGGCCACGCAACAACTTCGGCTGTTGCACGAATGTATCTTTATCGATTCTTTTGTTAGAGTAAAGTATAATTAAAAATCAATCACTCACCCAGCGTTGTCGTAGAAAGTAGAGTGTGGTGCGTCGTGTATCTGCAGCTTTAGATCTTTAGTTTCCAGCAAATCGGCTAGTTTCTTTCGCAGTTCCGGTAATTGGGAGCGACTAGCTAAGACTAGACGTAGTAAATCTCTCTCACGTACCACTGCAATCTAGGTTGGAGCATGAATATCATTACTAAATATTAAAAAAAATGAAGTATTTAAATGTTTGATGGTACGAACGGGATTTTTTGAATA